GCAGACCGGCAACGTAATGCGTCATATTGTGCAGGCTGGTTCAGTGGAAACAGACTGTTGGATCACTGTCCTGAATTTGTATTATAACGTGTGCACCAGTGGCCGTTGCCTCGTAAATTCGGGATTATTTGTTCGACGAGAGGCGAACGAGTGGGGGAAAAGGAACAAGAAAAGTGAAATGGGTGTCGTACTTTTTGTATGTAGTATTAATGTATGTAGTCAAAATTCTGCTTTATTTTAGCTTATGGATATTTGTATTGGAAATTATGAAGTTGCATAAACTCCCGCAGTCTAGATGACCGATAACGCAACACTGGCGTCATGTGAGTGTCAACTGGTACTTTTCATATAATAAAAGTTAATTGAATTCTTTTACATAGCATACTCTATATTTTTTTTATTCGTGACAAAAGAAGCCGACCACTGGCGAAAGTTAAAAAACTTATATTTTTTTTCTTTTTTTTTTTTGAACCGGAAGTTAGCCAGAGTAAACAGTCGTTCTGCTCGTTGTAAATCGTTGCGCGGCGAGGTGGTGCGCACGTCGTGCTTCCGCGCCATTGTACGTAATATATGGAGGTGCGCGGTTTGGCATCACCACGAGAACGTAATATCTGAAGAACAGACGTATTGTTAAAGCGTTACGACGAAGCTCCACTATAATGCTCGGCATTTGTAAAATAATGCCAAGGAAGCGATGCGGGCCGAAAAAAGAAGAAAAGAACGCTAGGCATTATTTATGGCAGGAATATGGTTTCCCTGGTATTTTCGAGATTTATGATGGCGCTGTTCAGTTTATTAATTTCCGCACGGACGTACCGAGTATCTGAACACACTGTTGACATATATATATAGAGAGAGAGAAACTTTGAATTTTTCTATTTAATATTGTATCGTCTCGATGGTTTTCGTATTCATTGAGTCGATTCTAGGAATGTTTAAGAACGGAAATTGCAAAGATGAGAAGAGGTTTTTTTAAGGCGACGAAAAATGTGAATGGAAAGAACATAATATCTGGACCCCAGAGCCAGGCTGTATTATCACACATTTCAAACTTTAGAGGAGAGAAAAGCAAAGGTACAAAAATCCTGGATCTTAAGAAATGTCTATTAAAGAATCCAAATCGCCTTCTAAATTTCGTCAGCAATATCCGTTATTCAAAGAACACCTTTGTCGGGACGATTCTTTGTTTTCTTTTCGTCCAATCTCGCGGATCTTAGTGGATCCGAAGGATTAACCGGGTGTATAGAGTGGTCGAAATCAAGGGGTTTTCTGTCTCCTCCAGACGCAAGTCCCGGAAGGGCAAACACAAGACATATTGTACCGGGGGCCGAGACCGGATCAGTTTACCGTGACGGAAGCCGAGGAGGAAGGTCATCTTTACTCAGTGGGAAGTCGAGTATACCGCAATGCAGTTCGGGACGCCCGTGTATCCCGTGTACCGTGTCCCATATCCTTCGTCTGAAGCCGTCGCCTGCCACCGTTCTATGCACATAATGGCACCGTTGCGCAATGTCGTTCCTGTCCGCGGCAACTCGTTCTAAAAGCGGTCGAGCGACGCGATGTGGCAACTTTCAACCACAGGGAACGAGACGACGATCTCGCGTCTGCCGTGTCGGGAACGATGACGCACTGGGGACGAATCGATCTCCGAGAAAGAAACGTGGTTGCATAAATGACGACGCGGAGTAGAATATTTTAGGTGTCGTGCTTCTTCGCCGTAACAAATAAACTGAATAGCTACTGATGGTTTTAATCCAAGAGGACTTAACTTTCAAAAATGTAGACGAATCGATCTCGAGGAAAGAAACGTTTTCTTTGTTTCTCAACGTGTTTCTTTTGGCGTTCAAAAATAAAGTATATCTTATCTTATATATTTCTTTGAAAGACTTATACAGATTTTTTATCTCATTCAGTCTTACAAGGGAAGGCACGGCAGTGTCTCCCTCTGATTTTGATGAAACTTTGTATGTCTGTTAAACAGTCAAAAATAAGGGATACATATTTTTTTTATCGACTGAGACGCGACTTTAATGGGTGAGAGCACCCCTCAAAGTTTCGATCTTTTTGAAAGATATTATTAATAATGAATATTAGGCAAGCAAAAGTGACGTTATCGTTTTAGAAATGTGTAGAGTCTATATTTTTGGAAATATGGAAGTTGTTTGTTTTGAGTTCAGACTATGGATATTAGGATTTGAGGTAGGACTTCCTGTGGTAGCATGGAAGTTTCACATTTGCTATTCTAGCTGCACGGGAGTATGTTACTTTTTATTGGACTCACGAGAGGCCATCATCTATAGCACATAGTTTTAAAATGTTTCTCAGATCATCCACTACACAATTTGTTATACACTGCGTAGTAATGCTATCAAAACCACCGTAAAATTTTCAATTCTTATATATTATGGTTAAAATAAAAACGAACTAAGTATGCAATGTCGGAAGTCGTGCTGCGAAATAATGTTTCTCCAGAAAAAGATAGACTATATTCCCTAGAAAGAAGTGATTCGTTTTTATTTTAACCACAACACATAACGATTGAAAATATTAGAGTGGTTTTATAGTTATGCCACGCAGTGTACTCTTTAATATTCCCCGAAACTCTAATAATAGTGTAAATTACAATACATACGTAATATAAGGGTACAAAGGAAATAGCATTGTAAAGATAGCAAATGGAGGATAATAGAAAAGTAAGGAGGACTTTGTGCATTGTATTTATTGTAATATTGCGTACCAGCATTTCGCACATACCTGCGCCACAAATATGCCGCTCTCGACGAAAAACAACAGCGAAGTACTCGCCTGTAGGGTGTTAATAATCTATAGCGAGGCTCTTTTGAAACAAATTCGGCGGCGGTCTATTGTTCGTGCAATGAACGCGTGTGCACGCGCGTACGTGGCCGAAGCGGGAAATGTTTCGCGTTGCTCTTTATGTGCACGAAAAGGTGTAACTAGTGGCGGAACAATGCCACTTTGCCCGTCACTATATTTATATTCTCCAGTTGTCCCGCACCTTTCTTTTTTTGCCACGTTCCTCGTTAATGCGGATAATTATGTCCCTACGAATTTAGTTTGCAACACAATCTGTCGTGACGTCAGATGTAATGTCCGCCGTTACCTAGCTCCCGGGGGCGGTGTTATTAAATTTAGAATATGACGGGGAACATGCGCGGTACTCGTTATCCGAGGGTGTTGTACAAGAACCCCGGGCATGGCAAAGCGAAACACGCTACGTTTCAGAAAAAGCTCAATGTAATACAGTCACATTAGGGATCCCCTAATTTTTCTGAGCAGTTTATTTAACTACTGATAAAGAATACCTGTATTATAGAGGGTGATACACACAATTAATACCTGCCAAAAGATAAAAAAAGAGTCCTAATAAACATGGATTGAAAAATTAATATTTTCAAAGTTATAAACAATTGTATACGTTTCGACCCTTGCTTGGGAAGCTAACGTACGATACATATCCGTCTGAAACCACAACCGTCAGAGTCTCCGATTACCTCTTCACCGAGAGACAATCGAACACCGACGGCTCCGACGATAACCGTATCCGTCGCCGTGGACAATTAGAGAGGATCATACAGAGCTCGGTGCGTTAACACCCACCCACGATGTCGCGGGTAATATTTAACGGCGCGTGTACGCGTGGGCGTCGTGCACGATGGAGGCATGTTCGCCAAACAATGGAACTTGCCGAGTAAGCTCTGGGTTAGAGGCGCGACGATGCAACATCCTCCTCGAAGACGGCTGAGGTGGTTTGGCGGCGGGTTACGCCCGGGCATTATATCGGCGATTATATCGGTAGACACTGATAGGGAGAAAATGGAAGCCCGTCGTCAGCATCGGAGGGTAGCGCACTCCATGGCTCGACCTCTTCACCGATCGCCGCCAGTCGAACAATGCCTGGCCGTGGGAGCTCGGTTCGTTCGCGAAGTATCCTCGTGCAATTTACGCGTGAAAAAACGAGGGATGAAGGGATGAAACAGGAGGAGGAGATGGCCGCACGGAAGGAAAACTGTCGGTGGCAACGCCGGCGAAAGAAAGGAATGAAGGGGAAGCTGGCGGCGCTCCGGTTGCCGATAAGTGACTTCGATCTGCGCGTGCACAAAAGGGACTAGTGAATCGGGGGAAGTGGAAGTATTGATGGTAATTGCTCGAGTGGGTCGATCAGCTACGGCTATTTAATGCGGTTGTGCGTCGAGGACACTTCGAGCCTTGTTTGAAATCAATTCTGCTTTGCTAGGAACGTCGTGCTGAACGTGGGAGTGTTGCTTGGAAGCTTGGAAGAAGTAATTTGGTTGATTTAGGGCCGTGTAGAGGGTCACTTTGCTTGTTCTCGGGGGATAATGGTCGTCTGTGTGTTAACTACACTCGCTGGCGTTCTATATGTGAAACTCTGGGAGACGTGGATGTAATATTTGGGGTGGTAATATAGGTTTGAGATTGTCTATTCCGCATTTCCTGCTAGAGTCTCCCTTTCTATAGATTTCTAATTAAACGATCAATCGAATTCTTTTGTTAAACCCTATCTTCGAGTCACTGAACAGGAATAAGTAGACCATTAAGCGATAATTGTCTTTACCTTATACTCTGAAGGCAAGCTTAACCGGAAGTGTAAGGTATGCCACTGAAACTTCCGTCCAGAGAAATGATCAATCTACTTTCACGCGCGATTTCGCAAGAAAGGTAACAAGATCCGATATTTAACGTTCCCAATGCGTCTGCGTTTGACACGTCTGATTCGACCACTTCAATGACACGTGATTGACGCTTTCGGGTAGTAATAAGCGGGCGCGTGCCACGAACATGACTACGGTACAAGTGTTCCCCGGTGAAATTCGATTATTCTGCGGGAATTTCGTCGAACGAAGAGCCCTTCGATAAAATGGAAATAGAGAGAGAGATAGAGCTGATTTTTACATGAATTTTTGCGTATCCAGCGTGTCGACCCCGGGGCTAACGAGCGTCTCGTGTCCTTTTGCTTTCAGGTTATTGACGTTCTGTTATCTGGCAGCGCTGAATTGCTGGTTGCTGCTCTGCCCGGCAACGCTCTCGCACGACTGGCAAATGGGATCCGTTCCTTTGGTCGCTTCGTTGGCCGACACCAGGAACCTGGCGACCTGCCTGTTCTTCGGCGGCTGTCTCATCCTCACGTATAAAGCCTTCACGGATTTCGAGGTGAGCACCGCGAATCAACGGACGAATTAGGACGGACTTTCTGAGTTGAAGGGGACCGTGAATTCTAGACAACAGAATTATTCAAAATATTTGTTTTTAAAAACCCTTTTATGAACGTTCTAATCCGATATGAAGCATACTATTAATGTTAGACAACTTTAAGTCACATGATATTATAGGAAGAAGCCTCAAAGAACAAATGGTCTTACGACCGTTGCTTGTTTATTTCGCACGATATAGTACGAAGTATCTCAAAAATAAATGATCTCACGACCGGTGCTTGTTTATTGTTCCTTGTAAAGCGGAGTACTCGGAAAAGATAGAAGAAACTTAACCTGGAACGTGACCAAAAGTCTCAAGTTCAAGATAAGTGCTGCTGTTAGTGGTTCATATAAATCTTCAAATCGTCCGAGAACTTTCAAACGGTCCTCTTTTTATATCCTGCACAGAATACCGCCAAATTGCCCAGAACATTATGAATGGTCTGTTTACAGTACATACTTCCTCTTAACTTCCTTAACGTCTGCCAAGTGGAGCAAATAAAGCGTAGGAACAAATACAGCTCGTTCTGAAGGTGTTCTAATGTCGCCATCAAACCACCCGAAATACCCTCATTTATAATACTTAAATCGTTCCCAAATGCTTTTTTTTACAACTTTCCCTCGCAATTCGGTTAAGGTTTCCCGGCGATGTTGTACACGGGCTCACGGAATAACGGGAAGTTAAATGGCCTGGTCGGTTGATCGTCCGCAAAAAGTCATTCGGCCGCTAAACGTTTCGGCCACGGAACGCTGGGAGCAACGAACCGCAAAGTTTCACGCTCGTAGCTCCCGGCGGGAAACTCGGGTGCCCTTTGCTATGATGAAGTTGTACTTGGCTCCGAAAGCCACAGAAGAAAGTTTTGCAGCGCAACTGCCGAGTCAACCGGTAGGGCATACAACCGCCTGACCCTCTGTCTTTCGGGTCATCCATCAGTAACGCGGCTGAGCGTACAGCGTAATGACTCCTTTAAGGTTCACCTTCTTGCGGGTCAGCGCGGGCCACTTTTCTCGAAGGAGGCCATAACTGTGGTTTTAACTTGTGCCTTTTCCAACCCATCCCACCCTTCTCTACCCGTTGCGCGGAGCGGAAATTGGACTAGAGATCAAGCTGCCTACACTGGATGGGGCCACCAAAGGCGGATGTCTTTTTCCGGAACGAGGCCGTTCTTGTCTCCTCTTTTCCCCCTCGTCGCGATAATCTCTGTGCCCAACATCCGATTTCAAAGATGTTTCTGTAATAGCGCCTCTCGGCTATTGTTCCCGATGTTGCATTGTTCGCATTCAGCGTACGTCTTTGACACACTTTAACGGGAGGGGGATGAGGGAAACCGGAGGCGTTGGTGGCTCGTTGAAGCTGGATGATGATGGAATGGTCTTTGAAAATGACTTACCTAACCCAGATTTCTTAGGACTTTCAAAGACCTTTCGGTAGCCCGTAGGAGATCATGTGGGACCTTCAAGACCGTTCAATAGTCCTTGAAGGACTGTTCTCTGCCTAGGGGGATGAAATGGTCGGAGGGACCGATGGAGGCGGTCGTTTAAGGGTGCACAGTTGATCGAAGAGGGCTGGAGGGATGGTTAATGATAGTCGAAGGGTCAAGGGAGTGATCGGTGATTGCCAGTAAGTTCTGTTGAGTCCTCGGTCTCGAGGCTTTCATATCTTGTTTTAGATCTGCTAGTATCCACGAAGCCTCGAAAGCAACTGACAAATTCTTGTTGCCGAGGTATCTTATATAAGTCCGAAATGAGTACCACTTTTGCTTAATCTGTAATTAAAATTAATCATCGAACAGATGGTGCTGTAAATATTCTGAAGAAATACTGACGATATCCAGTTGAATGAAGAAAGTGAAGTGTTATCAGTGCAGCGCGGGTTAACGTTACAAATTTCTTATCGATTATTATATTTACATTAGATATTTATAAGCTATAACATGACTACAAGTTGTAAAGGAAATAATACTTCGCGTTTTCAACGATTACATTGCCATCGATACATCTTTCAAACGAGCACTTCACGTTTCCCAGGCGGTACTTCCAGTCGGTTTTTCTTAAACATTTCGTGCATCTCTTTGTAAACCTTTCTTGGTATTAGGTCGCTAGTTCCAACGAAAGGCTTCACGCTTTCCACGTGTGTAACTTTTACGGGTCTGTTGGGCTTCTGTTTCACAATGTAGACATCGACCTTCGCTTTATCTGACTCCTTTAAACAAAACGAAAGAAACGGAGAGACAATATACCAGTGAATCATGATTAAGCGTAATATAACTCATAAACTTCAGACATAAATTTTGAGCATCACTTGGGTGGTACTTACTTTAGATACATTTGAAAACTTTTCGACTGGTGTTGACTTCGCTGGTTCTTCGACGTCCGTTGCTTCGACATCGGTCGAAACATCCCCCGTAACTGGTGCTTCGCCACTTTTTACACGTTCCGGAGCTCTAGCGGATGAGAATATAGTCGCAAGGTCGTTGAATAAATCTTCATTCGCGACTTCGCTTTTCGAAACTCCGTCCGAAGACACGGAAGGTGAGTGTTCTCCGTATCCCGCGGTTCCTTTCTCTGCTGGATAAGGTTTAAACGGCTTCAATGGTACAGGAACAAAAGGTTCACTTTTATATTTCCGTTCCGCGGCTGGTTTCGCGAACTTCCAGAAACTAGGTTGCCGGTTCTTTACGGATTTACCGTCTGACATTCCGTCGTTGGATTCACTGGATGAAATGTCTAGAGAGAAATGGGGCACATTGTCGCTTGTTCTATCTTTGTCAATTCTATCATTAGGATAGCGATCTAGATTTTCGAGATTTTCGGTCGTGTACTGATCAATGTCGCTTTTTGTCAATTCTTTTTCCGGCTTAGGTGTCATCTGCCAATTACGAAGTTCAGTGTTTTCGTGAAGTCTTCCACTTTCTGAATTATTTTCCTCAATCTGTTCTTCATCTTCCTCCAAAATACTTTTATTCGTATCCTTATGTCTTACATCCAGTCGGTTTAGTGAGTCCGTTAGCTTATTACCGTGCCTTGGCTTATATAGAATCATCTTTTTGTGATGTGTCTGCCACAATGTCTCATCATTGCTATTCATCTCGTCATCTGTTACAGAGAGTGATTTCCTCGGATTATTACTCCACTCGTTAGCATGTTTACTGGTAGTTATTTCGGAGGGTGGACTCTCATTAGAAGAACTCTCAGGATTTTCTGTCACGTGTCTTCCACCTCCTCGTTCTGAGGTAGTATCCAATTGTGTCAATGGAGAGGGTAGAGTCGTAGCCAATTCAGCGTCGCTCAAAGGCCTGCGTACCTGCGTTTCTACTTCAACGTTGGGTATTGTTTTAGAATGCCCGGTGGGTTCCTTGCTCCGAGTAGAATCGTCTGAGTTATCTTCATGATCTTTGAAGGGATGATGTAATTTAGCTCCAGATACTTCTTCATTTGTCTCTTCTTTAGATACATCCGAATGATCGATGTTCGTTAAGGCTGATTCAGACAATTCATTACCTTCCTCTTTTCTATTATGATTTTCATACTTTTTCCTATTGGCTACTGCCTCCCCAGTTTCTAATTCTCCATAGTTTTCCTGAAACGCACCGCTATGCCCAGCACTTTCCGCCAACGTATTCTTCTCGTGGATCAATGCATCACTTTCACGGGAGAGCTGTGACACCGTTTTGTCCTCCTCTTGTCGTTCGATACTCGCCTCGGTAAGTACAGACGATGGCTTTTCAGACTCCTGACGGGCACCGTCGCTATCAATCATATGCCCGGCGTCCCTCGATGAATCAGTTATATGTGACGTACTCAAAGCACCCTTTATAAATTCACCCTCCATTATCTCCACATGTTTCATCCTACCTTTATCCACATAGTCATCTCCGAGAGCATGTTGGTCCTTCTGTACTCGTTCATACGTACTGTTTAAGTCAATCATACTGTCTCTCGCCTCCTCGATTTCTCTTTCCGATGAGACATCAACTTCATTCACTTCTTCCGCCCCTAAAAACTTTTTCTTTCCATCCTGCAATTTATTCAAGTGTCCAATGATTCCAGAATTGTGCAGTTTGTCACGTGGCGTTTTCTTGCTGGTTTCATCAGCTTCCATCGGTGGTCCCTTATATAGTTCGTTATCGGGCCAAGTAATAGGAGGCGTCGCGGATCCATCAGCTAAACGACTTATAACTGGGTTCTCATCCACGCCTGAGGAGCTTAGCTTGTCGACGGTTGTTTTCGTATTCAAAGTAGACCGGATACTCGTAATAGGCAGCGCCTCAGACTCGTTGTCCCTGATTAATGACGGCGGTTCCCTGTGCTCGGCTCCCGGAAAATTGCGTGCTACTGACTCGTCGCCCTTCAGATTCGCGTCATACGACTGCGTATCGTCGAATCCATCGTACGTGCTCGCCCGCGATTTATTACTTTCCTTGGAACCTCTAACAGTCGCCGCAGCTTTCGTCGCGTGCATCTCGAACGATGACTCGCCGATTCCCTCGGTGACATCATTACTCTCAGTCACTTCGATATTCAGGCTGGGTCCCTTTACTAACGTTTCCACCGTGCTCAAGCGATCCATGGATGATTTGTTTTCATCTGCGGTAGATTCATCATTTCTTTGAGAATTCATACCGTTTAATCCGTTCCCCCACTTCTCTGACGGTTCGGTGAAAGTTCTCCTAGCCCCTTCTTCTCTTTCAGAAGGTATACCATTTTGTAATGTTTCTAGTAAATGGACTTTATCACTTTTACGTAATGATTCATTGTGTTCTTTCAAATGGTCCTTTTTTTCTGTATCATATCGAAGATTTCCTGACGATTCACCGCGATGCTCGGTTGAAGTGCCTCCGTTATAATCGTCTTCGCTCGATTTCGCAGAGTAAGCTTCATTGCTTGTTAGAGGGGTAACAGAATTCTGTTCTTTCTCGTCTGCTTTATTTCTTTTCCCGTTCTCAAGTGACAAATTAC